AATTAGAATCTCAAGAACTAACGGAAATGTATACATTAACGATAATAAGCTACGAAAAATATCACAGTAATAACAACAAAACTTAATAAAGATGTTGAATATTACAATTAAAGTAATTAACAGAAATCCAGGTAATTAAACTAATGGCATAATTTAGTCAAAACTAAAACAAGTAACAACAAAAATACTGTATATATATATTAAAGAATGTGTAATTTAAATGAAGACCACATGTTATTTAGGGTTGGAGAATACTGTTTCATGTGAAAGGTTTCTTTAATCAGTAATTCCAGATTAGTGTTGGCCTTGAAAAGGATAGTGAAATTTGATTTGCATTTAATTTGACTTTTTGCATTGGTAAACAAAGCTTAACTTTAAAAGGCCTAATCAAAGGCATAATTAATATTGGGATTTGATAAATTAAGTTCATGTCCTGTTTCTTCACTATGTTGGTGTATAGAGGAAACACAAGAGTTACTCAACTGTTTTTGTGTTCTCATCGAAATTCCCATATGTTCTTTGGCTCTAACTATTAGATGGTGTTTGGATTGGTGAATATAGAAGGCCTTACAGTCTCCACACGTGTAAAGATATACAGGCCATAAACAAAGAGAAGCTGGGAGAAGGTCTTCAGTACAGAAAAAGTCCTGTATGCGTGATGTGGATTTTAAAAGTAATCTGAATTCAACTTGGGGATAGTAACGATTAATTATGAGTTTAATTAGACTTTTTAAAGTAAGCTTTGTTTACCAATGTATGGAAGACAATAATGAATTTGGGTACAGTTGGTAGTCTAGGTAAAGTTGTGAGTTTCTTAGTTAGAAAGGTATTACTAATTTTTTGTAATAAATGTTGTGTATAGCAGTTACGTTTTAGAGTATCATGAATGACAGAAATTTCTGAGTTCAAATTAAGGTTGCAAGCTCTGTTTAATAAGCATGTTACAAGATTTCGTTTGTATGTGAACCGGATAAAGTTGTCGAATTGTGTAAGGAGTTCAGTAAACGACTTTTTTCTGTACAGAATTCGTTAGTGTTACGGTTAATAAGTATGTCTAAAAAAGGTAAATTATTATTATTTACAACCTCGCATATGAATTTAATGGCAGGATGTTCTGAGTTCAGGTATTCTGAGACTTTTGAGCAGTGATGTTGATTATGAAAAATAATCGAAGTGTCGTTCAAATACCTTCTGTAAAGGATAGGTCTGAAGTAAGCGGTGCAGGTGTCGAGCCATTTCTGTTCATGATAAAAGAGAAATGTATTAGCTAAGGTTGGACCAGCGGGAAGCCTATCGCAACGCCATCTATTTATTCAATGTGGGTGTTGTTGAATATGAAATGTGAATTCTTAGTTGTAAGAATAACAATTGCATTGTCTTTATTGGTCCGTGTAACATGGATATTTTTATTTAGTAACAGTTCTTTTAAGGCTGAGGTTTAAGGCTGAGGCCTAGAGGGTTAAGATGTTCTTTAGTATTAAAATTATAAAAAGTTGAAAAAGCACAGTTTTTTACTTTCGTAATGAAATGATCACTGGACTGATCAAGACTTCTTTTATCACAGAAAGATCTTTCAGGTTTGTGTAGAGCAATTCGAAAGTGTAAATAAAAGCAAAATTCAGTTTACGTCGTGGAAGAGAGAAATTAAGACCTTTAGGGCGGATTTACTCTCATTATTTAGTGTAAGATTACTCAGGTTAACAATCAAATCTTCAGGATCAAAATTGGCAGAAAAGTTATTAGTCAGTCTACTCAGCTTCAAATTTTGGTCGCGCAATTTTTCTGTCGTTGCATTGGCTCCACTTGTTTATTAGATGGGTGAACTCAACACTGCTAATGATGCTTCGAAGGTTAGTAGTGTACATGTTGAACTTTTCTGTAAATTCTCTGTTCTGTCAATGTTTCAATTGAAGTTCTTGATCCAAAAGTCTTTTTTTTACCAATTCAATAAACTGAGAATTTTGCAAGTTTCGGTTTGGTAGTTTAAATGGGGAAACTTTGAAATGACGTGTCGGAGTTTACATTCTGAAATGAAGCAAATGTCAAGGTTAACTTTTTAAATTTTGAAGTCCCATTTTTCACAGACACGACATGTATGCAGATAATTATTTCCATATCGTCGTACCAGGACACTAGCAACCGATGTTTTCGAAGAAAAACGAAGTTTGACAATAAAAAGGCTAACAACACTTAAGATAATCAAACAATATTGTTTATTTATAACAGAAAGGGACGGAACTAAATGTTTCGGAATTCTATAGATTTCATCTTTAGTATCTAAAGCAAAATATAAAGAATTACATCATTTACATGGGTAAACAAAGCTTAACTTTAAAAAATCAAATTAAACGCATAATTAATTCTTACTAACCCAAAGTTGAATTTAGATTAGTTATAAATCTACACCATGCATACAGAACATTTTCCACACTGAAGACCTAATTTCTCTTTGTTCATGGCTTGTATATCTTTACACGTGTGGAGACTGTAAGGTCTTCTATACTGGCAAGGCCCGGCATGGCCAGGTGGATAAGGCGCTCGACTCACAATCTGAGGGTCGCGGGTTCGAATCCGCATCCCACCAAACATGCTCGCCCTTTCAGCCGTGGGGGCGTTAT